GTATATTTATACATATATATTTATATATATTATGCGTTATATTCGTTTTTTGCATTCTTTACTTTCTATTAGTCAGTTACTTCATTCGACCCGAACCACAGACTTCTACACTTTTTACTTTTTTTCCTTATTTACCCAATATTGATAAACACCGACAAGTTCAGCTATATCAGTTACAGAGAGGAGGGGCTAAGGTTGTATTCTGTAAAAGATAGATGAATTAACATGAATCGAAAGAAATTTATTTCGATGCCTGATCTTCGAAGCCAGGGAGATTGGTTTTAAAATTGCATTATAAAAAATCGGATATATACTCATCAATACTTTACAAAAGAAGGAAAATACTCTGATATCGAATTTAATTCTGTATAGAGAAAATTTCATGTTTCAACGTTTCGTAAAAATTTCTAATTTTTTTTCTTTCTCAATGAGAATTGAATAGATATGTATTAAAGGATCTAAAAAAAAGTTTCATCATCGCAAAACCAATCTCCTATATTTTAAGGATTAGGAATTTATAACTTTGACGAAACGAATTTCTCTGCATACATCGATTCTTGTTAATCCAACTATTTTTTACTGGGATGCTCTCTTCGGCGGAGCACTGGGATGAGGTTCTTTTTCACAGGGCGATCCCACATACACACGGTTATATAGGGCTTCTTCGACGACACAATTCAAAAAATAATTTTTCATTTTTAGTAGAAAGATAGGCGGGGCATTTTCCGTATAATGGTAATATTATCGTTTTTCCCATTATTATTTATTACTCTATTTATTATTTTTATTACTTATCATTTTATTATTATTATTATTTTTATTATATTATTATTTTTTCTGGACATTATTACTTCGACGCATCCCGTTACGACCGTTGCTCGTCTCGTCACGTCGTGTCACATCGCTTTTTATTACGCGACGATATCACGCTGCAATAGTTCTTACGTTTACGTGATATCGATACCTATTTACACGTGTCTACTTTGTCTACGACAAATCGGATAGATTTGTTCATATCTCAGGCAACCACGATTCAAAATTCATCAAGTTTGAAATTTATTTATAAAGCTCGAGTGAGGAAAGTTGATTTAATAAATGAGGCAATACAACAATTCTGAAACGATAAAATTGACTGCCTTTTTTATCATTTTCTCATGTCAATTTCCTTTAACATTTAATACTTTTTACGAACTTTCACATGACTAATTTCATTATTAGAAAATCAATGTGTCATTCCATTTGCTTTGACATCATGTGAAAAAGTCCACGAACTTGCTTTATAAGTATAAAATAAATTATATTTTTTAAATAAATTAAATGTTTATAGATCTTAAGGACTTGATA